TAAAATTTTTCAATTTATCTTTATGAACTTATCCAACAGATATTTAAAGTCGGAAGTTGAATTCTTTTATAATTTCGCCACATAATTTCAAAAATTTGTTAAAAGTAACTTAATTGCTCGATAAATAAATATACCATATTATCAGTAAATGGTTCAGTAGGTATTTTGTTTAAATGCGTTCTTAAAAACAGACCCAATTCAACTGTACTGGAGCTGATAATGACTAAAAAATGTCAATGTATTCTTTACAACAGCAAACAGAATAAGGTAAGAGAAAATTCACCTGAGGTGTGTCGATATATATTGCCGATATTGAGTGTCACTGTCTCTAAATTACAAGCTAGTATGTTATGTAAACTCAATTTTTATTTTTGTAAAAAATAATAAAAGAAATTTAAACCATGGAAAAGAATTTTCATCAAATAACATATTAATTAAATAAACGTTATTACAATCTTAATAGAAAGCAATTGATATCCGCCGAAAACATCGTGGCAAAAACATTACGGACGAAAACTTCGTGGAGAAAACAACGCACTGCGAAAATGTCGTCGAACAAAACATCGTGGGAGAAAAGAACAAGGGGATAACAACGCAGTTCTAAAATATCGTAGTACAAAACATCGTCGCCGAAAACTGAAATATCGAGGTAAAAAATAAAATACCAAGACGTGATCGCATGACGATAACATCGCAGAAGTGTGTTTTTGAGGATCTAGAAGTTGTAATTGCATATTAACATAATCATTAGTGAAAGCAGAAAGGAGTGATAAATATTTTTAAATTCGAATCTATGCTATGAATGATGTAAAATAGAACTAGTTTCCTGCTGAACTGGCCAGCAACAGTGACCGACTGCTAAAATCGCTGAACAATGGTGGCTCTATCTGGCGAATGAGCAGGCTGCATGAGATTTTCGTGGTTTTCCTTTCCCAATGCATAACGTTGATACAGGCCAGTTCCTGAGAAAGTCCTCAACAAATGTATCCCTGTTTGTAAGCAGGTAGCGCTAGTATGATTTGCCACAATCAATCCAAATCCCTTACAATCCCTTCTTAATCCAAATATTATGCATCTGATATGCTTCGTCATAACTAACAAATCAGCATCCAAACGATTAACCGCACACAGTACATGAAAATATTAATGGCACTTTAAGAAGACTAATAAACTGAAAACAATAACCACCATTTAATTTCCACTAAACGAACGTCAGATTAATATAAGTGAAGGAAATTAATCTGATAATTTGACAATTAGCTTGACAATTTTAATAGACTCAATCTCAAACATTTACTCATCTTCCGATTCGTAATCTTTTCTTACATTATTTTTTCACGAAAAAATACCAATAAAACTTTATAAAAGAGTTTAATTAATCAATGACCTGTATTAGTTAACTGCTTAAAATTGCACTAATTTTTATAAGTATATTTATTATTCTACTCATTTTCAGTTTTTGAATAAGCTTCCTTCTTACTTTTCAGCAAAAATCTATTAGTTAATTCAAAAATAAAATGTGCGATGATTTGTAGGCGCTTTATTTTTTACCGCGATGTTGGAGACGACTATGTTTTTAAATTGCGAAGTTTTGAACCGCTTTATTTTCAACGAGGATGTTTTGTACCACGATGTTTTAGAACTGCGATATTTTCCCATTGCGTTCTTTTCTCAGCGACGTTTTAGTCCGCGGTGTTTTCTCCTATACTTCAATCACGGATAAAGCACAGAAACGTCTAATAAAAATGAGTATGCGTCACCCTGGTTGAAAGAGAAGAAGATGCAAAACCGTAGCTGTAAACTACTGAAAGACAAGATGTCGAGTTTTAAGTACACTTACATAATGAGAAGATTTTGGAAGAATCAGCTCTGGCAAAATATAACATATCTGTTTGGGAACTTCACGTTTTATATAGGTTGTGTTTTAAATGAGGCTTTTATATCAGAAACGTGCATCAGTTACATCCATGAGATGATATTGCTGCCAAATAAAGAATAACTACAAGCATTGTTACGTGCAAAATACCTATAAAGAAAAGCTATCACTGTATATTTTTAATATCTTTTAACTCATAGCACACACACAGTTAATTTGTAATATATTTAGAATACTTCAATATTAGCTATGCACAGGAACACTTCTAATCCACAGTAAGTTAGAAAATACTAGTGAGCACCCGATTCTCGAACGAATGGAATTAGCAAATGCGTGAAACCCGTTATGGTATGAATTTTTATGGGAATGAGAATGGGACAGTTATAAAGTAGAGAATAAATCCAACTTCAAAGTTGTATGTGTATTTTGAATTTAAGCGGTAAGATTAAACAAAATTAAATAGGAGATTTTTATATTAATTGGCCACTTATTTACGATTTCAGTCTTTACTCTTTTCGTAATTCTCACCAGAATGCAAATAAACAGTCAGTATTTAAAATGAAGTTTTCGGATTTTAATATCGTTTATTTCAACGCGTGTGCGCTACTTTGTTAGTTTCTTGCCAGCTGATAGTTGTCATTATTCGGATTTGCGTTCAATCTCTGCCGATGCTTAACGTCTGACGCTCCGGTGGAGTTAGTGAGTCAGCTTCTAGTAATATTTAATTGTGTAATCTTTGATTACTCTTCAGCAATTGATTTAATTTGCACTGTTCTATTTTATTTTGCAACACGAGGAGTTGTGGAAATTGTAATACAAGAGAGTGCCTTTGTGTTCTAAATTCTATTTAAATAAAAAGGTTATTTTTAACCTTCTCACGACTTTTTCGTTGTTTCAGACATAATTCGTTTTAGGACCGTTAGGGTTATAGGACTAATTTAGAATTACTATGCAATGCGTAAACAAATATGCAAATAATGCTGGATAAAGTTTAAACGAAGTTAGATTAATAATTCATTATTATCGTTTACTATTGTTCTTAGTGTTTTGTTTTAAAATATAACTTAAACTTTGCGCAACAATGATCAGTAAAGTTGACAATATAATTCAACTTCTAAAATTAATCAAATCCTTCACTGGACAAAATGTTTCGGGCAAAAGCATTATTAAACATTATACATATAATATTCATGTACTGTACTTTAATTAAATGTAAACATTTTTGAGTATAAAATTCGCCTTTGCTTTAAATAAAAGGTAATATTAAATTGCCATACAATCAGTGCCTAAGCAACAACCACTCACTTTTTCCCGTTATAGGCAGATAGGAAAAAAATTCATCTATGCTTTGAAGTTGCGGAAGAAAAGGAAGGAAAAGCAGAATTCCATTGACCTTTGTCAGCTGTGCGCATGCAGCCTCACACAGTTTTTTTTCATTTCGCTTTTCCTAAAATGTTTCCAAGGCTAAGCCCTGAGATGTTTCGCCATTTCAGTAAACGAAGGGGGAAAAAGTGTCACTGTATATTTTAGAATAATGCAAAACGTACGAGAGCTATCTGCTTAAGGAGAGGGATGCCTTCGTGGAGGATTTTCTACGGAAATCTTGCTATTATTCACTTTACCCATAGTGAAACCTCAAAAACCAATTATGCACTCCGCTCGCTCGGCCGGAATCGAACCAGGGTGAATTTCCGATATTCACCTGTCTTCACGGCCACTCGTGGGTACCGTGGTAATTTAACTATAATAACAGAAAAAATATTACATACTAAGGATTAATATGAAGTAAAATTTTTCTATTTAAAAAAATTGCTTTCGAGTAAATACTTTGATCAGTGAGGTCTCTACTTTTATACGAATATAAAAATTATATGTTTTTGGATGATAAACAAAACATTAAATATTTCACATCTGCTTGATCTGTAAAAAAAAAAAAAAAAAAAGAATCAGCTTGTTTATTTATAAACAGACATCACAATTTTCCGCATGAAATCATTTCTATTAAAAATTCGTTTTTGTAGCAATCATACCTTAATTTCATTAAGCTAAATAATTGTTCAGTTCTGAGTAATATCATTTATTAATAATTACCTATTTGTATTAAGTTAGAAAAGTAGATTTTTCATGTTCTAACCCTGTTATCTGTAGAGTACTCTCTACATTTCGCAAGCAAGTAACGTCTGCTTTAAAGTCAGCGTAGCAATTTCTCTTCATTTAGTACTCTGATATACGCAATGTAAAACGAGACAGATTCTATGAGGCACGAAATATAACCCTGCTATCTATCCATTGAGAACTGAAGATGAAAGAAAATTTCTTCGTGAATCCTTGCTACTAAAATCATAGCTGGATAATTCAGTTGTTTCAGGTTATACAGAGTGGAGAGAATCAGACTACAAACATGTCATATTATACCTTAAAACTTCATGACTGCTGTCATTAAAACAAATTAAATTTTCTGTAATAGCATCATAAAGGCTGCAGCTATATAAGCATCTCTTTATGATTCTAAAATGAAACGGTACTTCCCAATTAAAATCTTTTCTACCATCATTCGAGAGTGTTATTCGACGAAGTACATTTAGATTTTGCCATACCCCTTCTTATTTACCAGATTTACAAACATATGACTTTCCAAAAATCAAAACGCCGCTTAAATGGCGATCTTTTGATGATGCACCTACCATACTGAAAACAACGATGGAATCAATATACGCTGTCTTTTTGAATACAAAATAGTGTATGAATTTTGGAGGAATTTCTTAAAATAAATAAAGCTTAATAGCTGAAGTCATGATTTCTTGTTTTTATTTTCATCAGTTTTATTTCAAAATCGCTGCTCCAATTAATACATATTGCATGAATAGAATAATTTATGCATGTATAAGAAAAATTAATAAATCCTGCATGTGTTTTACCTTGTAGAATAGTGAAGTAGTGCTTCAAAATCCGACGTATGGATATTATCATCTATACATTAAGAATGGGTATGTATTTATGAATTGCTGCTATTTAGAATAGCCGAATGAGCACCGCCATGTATAGATAGAAAAAGCATGCCACTTGAAATATTGGTGTAGCGCTGCATTAATGGAAACTGCGAAATAATGCTTTTAACTACCAGGTACTAGAAGAACCGAAAACCTTAGTTCAAGAAGAATCAAAAGTTGATGAGACATCTGAAAAAGAGGCGGGTAAGTCTGAGGAAAAAGAAGAGGACGACACAGAAAAAGAGACCACACCAGACGAAGAGGTTAAAAAGGAGGACAAAGAAGAAGACCAGGAGAAAATTGCCGCAGAAAATGAAGTGAAAAAAGAAGCGGAAACAACAGTGATTGAAGAAGCGGAAACCGTGAAAATTGAAGAAACGGAAGAGGTAGGACATTTCTGTTGTTGGAAAAAAGAAATTGTTTCATTGCCAGCGGTGGCATTTAAACTTTGCTCTTTGCAGATGCACTTGAAAGAACTGATTTTTGCAATTTTCTGTTGAGGATTAAATAAAGTCTGATCTTTTAGGAAGTGTTTTTGAATAATAATATTCTGTGATTACTTACTGGTGTCATTTAATGGTATTGTACATAAACGTTATAACTTCCATTAAATAAATAATTTCCTAAATGTTAGGGAACTGTCTTCTTTCAAACGTCAAAAAGAAAACGAAGTCATTTAATATCTTTTTACAAGCAACATTCTTGCTTTATTAAATAGCATAATAATTCAAAATATTTTTGTTAGTTTATTCATTTAAATGCATTTCGTTTTTTACTTGTTTCAATTCAAAACTTGTTACTATTAATCTCAATTTTAAATTTCTTTATAAGGTCATAAATAATGATAAAAATTGCATCTTTATATCAACCTTTTGTATCTCTAAGTTTCTTTACGTATATGTCTCATACGTGTTAAGAAAATGGCTTCGCTGAAGTCTTAAAAAGGAAAAGAAATCATTTATATCTTATCACAAGCATATTTATGTTTTTGATAACATTAAATATGAAGAAACATGATCATGTGTAATATATTATCATATTTTATGATAACATATAACTATTTAATTTAAAATACCATAGCTAAATACTATTTATTTATTTAAACGCATATTTTTATATGTCAAAATGTATATTTATGTCAAAATTATATGTTTTACATATTCAAAAGATACTAATTTTAGACTTACATTTAAATTTCTCCAAAATTTGATAAATAATGATATCCTTAAATTTATCTCATATATTTCTATGTTATCATTTTTATATCAACAATAAACTTTTATATTCAATTTCTTAAAGTATCTTGATTAGATAACAATCGAATTTCACAGGTTATATGCTGATTATTTGAGATGTAGACTTGATTAAAAATATTTGCAATATATAAATTGAAGGTAATTATTACGCTTATAAAATTTATACCATTGCTTTGGTCTAATTTATTTAGGTTCGTTTTTAAAAATTCGTGCAAATAATGATGTAATTAAAATGAACATATAGGATGGTCTCAGCAGATTTTATGCATTCAGTATCTTAATTTTTAATGTCATATTTTAAAATATTGAAGAGACAGCAGTTTCTTTTTCCAGCATTGGAATTGTGTCTCTTCTCACTGATCTCCAAAAATAGGAAAAGTTAAAAAAAAAAAAAAAAAAAAAAAAGTGAAATTGAAAGAAAAGTAAAGAAAGAAAAAGTTTAGAGAAGTTAGTCTATGTCAAGTAATCTTTAAAGTAGACTGGCCTTGCGAAGCTGCATTCCACAGACCGGTATTTTTTGTCTCCCAGTTATATACTTAGTGTACAAAATTAAGAGAATTTGCAAATTAATGTCTACTTTTACTCAAAGTATTCAAACTAAGCTACTAATCAAGCCGCCGAAGAATTATGCGAATATTCAGAGTCCAATACGTAAACGTACATGTGCGTGTCTGCGGAGCTGTAATTCTTGGAGGGGATATAAGCGCTCGAGAGGTTTCGGCGACTTTTGTACTCGTACTCTTTCCCGATAATCGCCCTGTTTCTTGCAGAAATTGGGCAAACTGGGTAAATTTTGAATTATAGAGTAATTGGATAAATCGGGTTATAAAGTAACTAGGTAAATTGGATTTTTGAGTATTTGGGTAAATTGGGTTATAGAGTATCATTTAAGTTCCTAATCAGTTATTTTATGTTAGTTTACTTTTCAATCAAGCTTTGTTTCGATTTCCTTACCAGAAGTAAATTTCCAGCTTGCGCAATATTCAAATTAGATAGAAAGAAAAATGTATTTGAAGGAAGGTTTTTGGAGTGTAAAATCAGAGCATTTTCTGCCTGCTGGAAGGCTACGTTACTAACTTTTATTCCCTAGCGATCATTGTTCTGTGGCATTGAGTTATTCTTGCCATCCAGCTTGTTTACGCCGACTTCGATCAGAGCCAGCTAGTGCACTAGTTATACTGTGAAGCCTTTAGGCTATGCATGAATTTCATTCATTTTAGTTCATCTATTATGGCTTTTGGTTTCGGTATACACAGATTAGTGCCGTCTGTTAAACTTTATTTGGATTAATAAAAGCGTCTTTTACACCTTTCCCTGTCTGTGTGCTATTTATGAGACACAGTGAAAATTCACTTTAGAGTTCTGGTCTAAGTTCATGTTACCTGAAAAGGCCAGACCTTATAACGTATCAAAAAAAATAAGTAGCCACGAACGTATGAATTATGGAATGAGATACAAAATTGTCGATAAATTGGAGGCAGGTGGATTACAAGCGCAGGTGGATACAAAGCTCAATGTACCGTCCAGTCATGCTGTTTGTGGAAACAGTTTTAGGACACCTGATCCATATCAAGAAGACCTGCACACGTTCGACCAACATCCACAGCGACGAATGTGGATCGATGTTTGGCATTTTTAGCGCGGCGTGACAGGTCTGATACAGTTTCAAAGCTTTCGCATGAGCTTATGCTGCCTCTAAAATTATAATTTCACTGCCTGCAGTTGCCTATAGGCTTCAAAAGATAGGGCTGTATGCCAGAAGGCCAGCTGTTTGTATCCCGCTTGCTGCAGCACATGTAAGAGCGCGTTTAACATGGTGCAGACAGCATGTGCCTTGGACCAGACTTCGGTGGAGCACTATGCTTTTTACAGATGTGGAGATTCAACCTGGACACTGAGTCCTGACGTACCTGTTTCTTAAGAGCCTGGAATACGATACCATCCCTCTCCCATCAAGGAAAAAGGTCATTATGGAGGTGTACGGTAGAGGTGTAAATGTAGGTCAGTCATTATGTTGGACGCCCGCACACCCTTGCATATGTTTGATAAAGGCTGCTTCACTGCTATGAGGTATAAAGAGGATATATTTGAGCCCTATATGTTCGACTTCTTCAGAAGTGCAGTTGGTCTGTGGTTTTCTGTTAACTGGCGACAACACTCGTCCACGTAACGGCTCAGCTTGTTGATGAGTACTTGTAAAGGGATATTCGAGGCATGGATTGGCTAGTCAGAACTCTGACCTTAACCCTATAGAGCATGTCTGGAACTCTTTCAGGAGGGCAATTTTATCGGACCGTCCGTTTTATCGGGTCCAACAACCATCACGGACTTGACAGCTGCCTTCCTGTAGGTATGGAATCGACTGCCACAGGGACTCTTCAACTGCCTTTTGTCCAGTATGCCGTCACGCTGTGCGACTTGTGTGGCTGTAAGAGCGGAGCATAAAGCATATTGTTTAGTTCGATATCAAAACGCCGATTTTTTGCATCCATACACAATGAGCTTTATCGGTAGTCATGTATATATAAAATAATTTTTGAATGGTTCAGCCCTTTCTTTATTACAAATGTATTATATTCATGCCACAATCATTAAAATCTGTCCAGTATTTTTTCAGAACTTCGACATAATATGCAAATTCTTTTAATATTACACGCGTGTATATTAATGATTACACGAGTAATAATGGTTACACGAATAATAATAATAATATATTGCACGAGTAATGATGCAATAGTTAGGAAATACCAAACATAGGTTTTGCACTTAAATAATAATCCTCTTTTTATAAATATATCTTCTTCAGATAGTGAACATGTTTAATAAAATCTCAATATTTCACAGAATAGCAAAGCTTGCAGCTGGCGAAATAAATGTTAAACGGCGACAGATACTAAAATATTTGACCGTAAGAATGTTCATATTTATTAAACAGAAAATAAATAAACAATAAGATAAATTTCTCGAATGGCAAATGTACTTTATTTCTCAGCAGAAGAACAAATTATCCCTTTCCTATTATTGTTTGTTAAAAGTTCAGGCATGAAAATTTGATAAGTAACTCCAACTTTGCTTTTGTTGAGTTTGTGCTTATTAGCGTTATATGCGCATCACACGAAAACCGTTTATTTAGTCATGATCTATTCGAGCAAGATGAATTATAAGCATTCTTTTTTTACCATAATAATATATGAAGAATATGTAGGAATACGTAGTATATATGTAACATGGAATAATATTCAAATAGTTGATGTAATTTATGTTGTTATATTTCTAATGGAAATGAGAAATAACACATTAATAGGAAGATTTTAAATACTTTTAATAATTAAAATATTATTTTCCACGTAAATATTTAATTACTTTGATTCACGTTTTCTGAGTAGCTTAATGTTGTCTCAGATATCTCACTATTTTCGTAATTTAAAAAACGTTATTTAAAAACTGTTACATTTGCAATTTTTTGCTAGAAATCTGTTATAATTCTTTTGTTGTTATTTACAGAGAAATATCATTTTTAGCCCGTGAGAAACATATTTCTAACCAGTGATATGAAAGACATAGAATAATCATAATGTCAATGTAACGGTGATGACAAACGGTGATGACTAGAGCATGTAAGAAACGATACATCATCGAAAGGTAGAGAAATCATTAAAAGACAAGCACAATCTTTATTAATTTGTAAACACACTTTTCGAAAAAAGCACAAACAGAACATCTGTTGTTCAAACTTCAGTAATTTAAAATTTTTTATAAATCAAAAAACAAATTTCGCACAGGTGAGCATTCATAAAAATTCATTATTAACTTTTCTATGTAATTTTACTTTATTTAATTACAAAATCAAATGTATTTTTTGAAATTAAACCGAAATTGTTTTCTGTATCTTTGTCTTTCGATTAATGAAGTTAGGTTAATTTATGTAAATCTTAAAATTTTTATGCCTTAGATCTTCCTTATTGGATCCTTGCGAAAACAATTTTTTTTTTGTTTCCGAGGCTTCCCGTACCATTCAGTCATTGCGACAAGCAACAGGGAGATTTCTGCAAAACATTTTACTCCAAATAAAGGCAGAACATTGAAATAAACCTAATTTACAGGAAAGCCTAAAATCGTTGTTTTGGAATATTAAATAATGATTATCTTTTTTTAGGTCTTAATTACTGAAAATTAACTCTGAAGTCTCTATTCCGATATGTTATATTGTAAACTATTATAAAGTATTTCTCCCGCCTTCTTAGCGAGCCTTCGTGGTAAGTCTCCTGCTTTCAAATAACCGAATAGCTCTACACTATAAGTGAAAGTATTTTAATAAAAAAATAATTAAATATACGATGGAAAATACATGCTTAGAAGAAGCTTCTGCATCATAGAACTTTCGTAGTATGGACAAGCGAGGTTTTGTTTATTCAGAAATTCTTGTTAAAAGTGTTGGTTCTCTCATTAAAATAAAGAAGGAGGATGGGGGTAAAATAATAAAAAGTAAATAAATAGTTCATATTCGATAAATCAAGAATTGAAATAATTGCATCAAATGCTATTTGTAAAGAAAGAAAATATTATTGGCACACAGATATATACACAGATATACATGGACAGGCGTTTTAAGCTAGGACAGTTTTTGCCATGCATAAACAGCACCTGTTTCCTTGAGTGAATTTGTGTTCGCCGCGAATAAGCCTCTAACAAAGGCTTAATAAAACAGCAATGTATTCTAGAAATTCAGTTTTATGATTTTATTTGACATGAAGGATAATGGAATTTTTTGCATGTAACAGTTTCTTAGTGTAAGTATGCTATTAAATTTTGAATTTCTTACTTTAATGAGGTTGCAACGTATTATCGTAAGCTAAAACTTCAATTGCATGATTTTTTTTCCTTTTCACTTTTGCTACTTTCTAATTTTTTTTTACTGTTTCTTATGGTTTGATTGTAATGTAGTAAATGTCATTTCCAAACGTGTGCAACAACAAAATAATAATGCCTTTATACAAAAATTCCGCAAAATGAACAAAAGCCTATTTTTAAGTACAAAAACATTACAAAATATCTTGAAAGACTAGATTAACTGTGGTATAGATGATTTATGATTAGCAGGATTGTTCGAAAACGGAAGGCTTGTAAATTTCTCTTCTTTCATCATCCTGAAACAATCTTCTTGCAGTAGTCGTATAAAATACCACATATTATAACCGAACTGATAAAATAAGTTATGTTAGATGATACGCTAGTGCTCTGAATGTGTTAAGGCATGTAACATAGCACCGTAACGGCCATCAGCGTTTTCCTCAGCATCGGTATTTCAGATTTTTGACATTTTTATCTTTTCATTTAATGATGGAATCTAATTTTAATGCAAATGTCGCGTATTATCGCGTAAATATTTTCCCTTGAATGCATTTCTAAAGTTAATTTCATAAAATAAAATAAGTTTAAAATCATATTTGTACTGGTGAATAAATCTTTATATTAATTCAAATTTCTGTCAATCAATAAATAACTAAATATTTAAGATTAAATTTATAAATGCTGTTTACAATTAAAAATTACAAATTGAAAACTGAAACTTCTAACGATATGAATATTTGCCAATGTAACGTTTAATAGTTTAAATAATACAAATCAGTCCTTTTGTGATGTTGTCTATATTAGTAGAAATATGGTATTAAAATGCTTCGTATTTTAAGGAAATCATAATTTTAAAACATTTGCACAACAAAAGTATTAAAATTCCCTTTTAGGCAGCTGAGAAACCTGAGGAAGAAGAAGAAAAACCATCAGCAAGTATCACAGAGGAAGCAAAATCATCAGAAGTCGGAGCAGAGAAAGAAGAACCTGCAGAAGAAGAAAAAACTGCAGAAGATGCAGAAGAGGCAAGAAAATCTGAAGAGAGCGAAGGAGAAGCTGAAAAAGGAGAATCAGAAGCCGAGGAGGAAAAGAAAGATGAAGAAAAGAAAGAGCCTGAGCAAGAGGATGAAGAAGAAAAACAAGATGAAGGCAAAGAACATGAAGAAAAGCCAGAATCGCCACCCAAATCTCCAACCAAGAGAATGAGATCACCTGACAAAGCTGGAAGAAGAGGTAAAAGATTTCATTTCTCTATAAATTTAAATTTCTTGCTTAAATGTTTATAGCAACTAGTTCCGAATAAAGTTACTTAAAAAAAGTCTAATTTGTATGCTGTGTTGTTTATAAAGGTTACCCAACTAAGCTCATCTTCTTCGATTCTCTTCCTAAAAAGTAACCATAAGCAATAACCATTTGTCGTAGGCTCATGGCTCCAGTTTACGACGGGATTCAAATAATACAGGCTTTCAAAATACGACAATATTTTGTCGCATGGCACTGTCTGTTGAAAGTGTGCTAAATTTAATCTACGATCCCTTAAACGATAAATTTAATCTACGAAAAATTAAATATTAGGAATTTTTATTCGAAACTTTAATTGCTTTTAACGGTATTTGTATATGGCACTGATTTAATTAATCCTATCTGAGTTCATTTTACCTTTGGAATATTTTTCTTCACTAAAACATTTTTTTCCTCCGGAGACCCCCAAAAATTTTTAAGTTTCATATTTTGTACTAAAAAGTATAAGATATCGCATGACCAAAATAACTGCCATTTTATGGTCTTGTTTAGTTAATATATTTCTTAAAATGGTAAAATATGTGCATGATAAACAGTCGTAGAGAGGTATCAGTCCTTCAGAAACTGTGAAGATAGCGCCAAAAACTGCTCTAAGAAGCTGAGGCTGTGCAATTGCAGTTGATTTCATTTTTGGCTAGGATATTAAAGTTGATAGTTTTCTCACGTTTCCCCTTCAGATGAGAGAGTTTTGCGGTAAAAAGAAACTATTTAATATTTAATTTTGTTTTTGTCATAACACCTAACCATTCCCAAAAATCTTAGCTATTTAATATTACTTTCAATATAAATAATGTAGTAACTGATGAGGAATAACTCTATTCTAGTCCAGTACTGGAAGTATCTTGAAACCCATTAGTATATTATTCTACACAGTAACACTTCTTGCGCATTTTACTTAATGTAGTAAGTTTGACTGATTATAAAAACGGATTTAATAAAGTTAAAATCAGTATGAACACATATTTATAACTGAAAATCATTTTCTTTAAAAGAAAGAATTATAAAAGTTAATAAGTTATTTAATATTGGTTTGCATTATATTTCCGTGTTGAGAAATATTGATATCGTTACAAAATTCTGCTTTTACTGTTAAAAGTCAAACCTTGACTTCAGCTTTTTTTGTATGTCTTGCGTATTTTTAAGCATATAATATTTCTTTTCGCTAACCTCAAAACCTATATTACACTTCTCTCGTGCTTCTTCTATAATTTAGAAATATATAAATGCATCATATGTAAACTGCAATATATACCATTGTATGAAAATGTTACATTGTATTATAAGGTATTTTCTCTTTTCTTTCTGCATGCCTTCTCGGTGTAACGGTAGCACACTCCGCGCGTATTCGGGAGCTCCAGGCTTGAGTCCCGGCGAAGGCATTGCGGATTTCTTTGATTTCCTTGTTTCGAAAAATTCTAAAATGACTCTACAGGATGTCCTAACTAAAACATGGTGGGTGATGATTCTTCACCACCAGGATTTGGCGATTAGATCCCCTAATCTCGTCGTCCTTATATAAGATATTTTCTCCCTCCTTTCTGAATGCCTTCGTGGTGTAACGGTAGCACACTCAGCGCGTATTCAAGAGGTTTGAGTTCGAATCCCGGCGAGGGCATTGCACATTTTGCACTTCTCCTGCTTCAAAATAACCTGATGTCTCTACAGTATCAGTACATATTCATAGAGTAAGTTGGCATTCGATGCTAAATAAATCAAAACTTATTTCCTTCCATCTACTTATTCTAATTAGTTCTTCATTGCTTTGCATTAGTTGCTATACTTTTTTTGGTTTAACTGAAGTGTTTTTGGTAAACTCTTGGCGGGTATCTTAAAAAACAAATTTTAATTCTGGAACGAGTTATCACCTTAAATTTAATTAAATAATTCGAATAACCCAAAGGCAATTAAAAGCCAATAGTGTCTGAAGCAGCTAAATTAAATTTAATGGTGTGTTTTTATTTTAGACAACTAGATTAGTGAGTAATCGCTTGAAATTTAGCAACATATTGCCCCTGGCCCAGCTTCATAAAACTTAAAGATTTATGTCTTAGACATTTTAGTTGGTAATTTGCTTAGTTATGTCTTCAGAAGTTAATTTCGGCATGAAAAATTATCGTTTAGGCAACTAAGTTAGGCTTTGCGAATTATCATCTTAGACAGTTAATACACCTGATAAGCCTAATTTAATAATTTTAAATGAACACACAAAGGTAAATTTAGAAGACAGAAGGAAAAGATGTCAAACATAAAATTTGCAAAGCAGGAACCTTGCGCTTGACGTAGAATTCAGTGATGACTGCGTTGATTTCGAGAGCAAACAGTTACAGGTCTGTCTTCAGCAGGAGCAAAGAAATGTGCAGCAAAGGGAATGCCATACTTCGGTAGCTAATCATAGTTGAAAATTTAATCATAATTTGAACTATGGGTCTCCAAACACTACCCAAGAAGTGTCTTACATTGGTGAACTGGAATTTTTTAAGCACATTCACAAAGATTTATCTTGTTTAGTTAATGACTTTAATTCCAATCCAGTCCTTCCTAATGCTTTGAAAATTATGTTAATTTAATTTTTCAATTTTCATTCCTATTTTTTTTGCCAAAAGATAGTGCTACATTCTTTTTATGGTTACTTCTTTAAAATATAAATGCATACATCTGATGAAGAAGGGCCTGTACCTGTTTGTCCTCGAAATCGACAGATCTTGACTAAAATCTACGCCAAACACAAGATTGTTACGTTACTAATTTTATAAATTTAGAACTTAGTTTATTAATACCCTATCATTTATCTCTAAAATAATTAAAAACAAAGCAACTATTGCAGAAGCAAAGCTATTATTATTATAATATTGGCGACTAATTTTTTTCTCCAATTTTGGCGATAAATCTTCAAAAATCGCCAAACTTGGTGATCATTCGGAGGCATTTTGTCCGGCGTTTTTATCTTCGTAATAAGTATTACAATTGAATAAATAAAATTGGTCACTATATTAGCTCTAACTGTAGCTGGCTCTCATATGCCTTCCAGAAATTTTGAGAGGCAGAAAGTACTAGAAATGTGTCGGCGGCCGGGTGAAAACTATATAAGGCCGGAGAGAGCATCTGCTCTGAGTTGTTGTTGTGAGTCGTCAGTTCAGAACGGTTTCGGAGTATTGAAAGCTTTGCCTTTTAAGTACTGTTCACACTGGGATTTATATGAGTAACGGAGACATCTGACACAACCGGCACTGCTCTAAAAGCAGTTTTTCTTCATAGTGGAGTGAGCTGAAAAATCTGAACTTCAGGTAAAGCGGAGCTACTCGACACATAGACCAGACTCCGCTAGTGCAGATAAATGAGTGTGTGAATGGCCTTTTAGGTGCGCTACCTTTTAGGTGTGTAACTACTGCTTGTACTCTGTGTTACTGTGAATACCTGCACGAGTATTTCTGTGGAATGTTTCATAACTCTGAAGTATTTCTTTTGATAAAATAAATTTTATCAACCTATCATCTGGTTTGTGTGCATTCAGTCTATTACAAACCCGTGCGCATGTAGCAATAATTCTCGTTTTATATAATCAAGTTTTAAAATTTTTCTAATCAAATCTGAAAGCAACAGTAAGAAATTAATTTATTTTAATATTCAGTTCATATTCACTTGCTCTTATTCAATTAAAATATTTATTAGTGTTTTGTCAGAGCATTCGTGTCTTATTTTGAAATCCGTGAAATCTTAAATTTATTCATTAAACGTAAATTTTATTTATTACTTTAAGTAATGTTTATTTTTTTATTACAAATGCCCAGAAGGTTGGCTATGACGCCATTAGATCTATAGCCTTCCAATATTTCTGAACTTTACCATTTAAAAACACAAGTGCAGAGCATGAGCCAAGATGAGTATAAAAAAATTGATATTGTCCGCACAGAGAACATAAGGAAGAGTCACAAAGCGCAAGACAGTGCAACTATGCAGAAAAACAGTCATGGCCTGTAGTAATGTGGAAAAGTGCCACAGCTGCACTTCTAGGAAAATCTGAGATCAACTGTGTATCTTTAAGTAGTCCCCATGGCTTACCGGCAGAGTCGAGTCACACAGTGCTCTCTGCTTTATCCTGGAGGCATATCTTCTTTTTATCAGTAGTTTGACTGAATGAAATAAGAGGCTTTCTAAAGGTCTCTGGAGAGCCCTTGCGCCCTTTTTGAAGAAAATGGCGGCAGCCTCGTTCCCAGGTATCCGCAGTGTGCGGACATCCACTGGAAAGAAACAGAGATTGTCGTTAAGAGCTCTTTTCACTCCATTATACGGATATTATCCATGTATTGTCTATTTTCAAGAGATTTAAGAGCAGACAGGGAGTCTGACAAAATCACCGCTCTGCAGAATAGGAGGAGCAGATATCCAGTTGCTTTAATGCAATATAAATAGCCTCGATTTCGCCATAATAATTGGTGGAATGAGCGCCTGTTGGTGCATAGCATGAAAAAAAATCACAACACACACCGTCTCCCGCTATGTCTTCATCGTTAAACGTTTATATATCTGTGCAGACATGTAACGATGTTTCTCTATGGTATTTGTTTTCATTAGTAGATAGAGAAATGGCAAGAACATGTTGTTCGCTCATATGACTGTTATTAACCTGCATATCCAGCTTCAGCAACACCGAGGTCTCTCCATATCCCAAAGGTCAAACAGGCCAACAGAGAAGTTGAGGACTGAGGTAGACATTCATATCAGTGGCTGCCGAATAAGCTTATTGTATAAAACCTTTTTTAGTTTTAACATTTCTCTCTGCGTTGGTATCGCAATCCCTCCGAAAGGTATTGTTGGGCAGGTGAATCAGCTTTTCATAAAGAAGGACTGCATCTCTTTCAATTATGTTTCTTAGTGGAGGGTGAGATAAATATTGCATTGCTAGTATAGAAGTGGTTCTTACAGTACCCGTA